TTTAAGACCCCAGACGCTATACTTTTTGATAGTCGGGTACCATCAGCTTTCTTCATTGTCCAGCCTATCTTATGCGGAGATAATAACATGCACAAAAACAAGACAGAGCAAAACCAAGCAACAATATACAACAAAACAACAGCAACAAACCAATGACAAAAAACACAAGAAAGGAAAGCTTGTAATTAGTTCAAGGAGTTCTTTGTGTTATTTTAGTTTTCTTGTTATTCTTAGAACTTGTCTCCAAACATGAAATTATATTAAAGAGAAGAGATAAAAAATATTTAAAGGAAACCAAAAAATGTGCCTTTGTACTACTTTATTCGTACTCTCTTAGGTCTGGCTTTTGAGATGTAATCCAAATAGAGATGTTCTATTTCATTGCATTCATAACCATTTTGCCATTTATACCACCTCCCATAGTTTTGTTGTTCAGTGGTGGCTTGCAGTTTATTATGATAACGGGAGCTGTGCCCCTGGGATCTCAAATACCCACTGGGTTACCCAAAGCACACATGTTTCAGCAGGCTTTCCACACTAAAAGTTGGAGGGACAGCCTGGTTATATACTTGAAAAATTAGTCACTACAAACTTCATGTATAACAATAGGACATTGTCTGACTTGCTTCCTTTGGATATTCATTGTGAGTGATCAGTCACTGGAAGAGGGTATCACATTTGATGTAAAGGCGAGGGCTAGTGAAGGCCAGAGGACAGGCCTTCAGTGAGATGAATTGACATAATATTTGTAACAATAACTTGAAAAAGCTGGCAATTGTGAAGATGGATTAGGATTTGGCAGTGTTTCGTTCAATTGTATATAAGAAGGTCACCATGTATCAAGAATTGACTGCTGTCTGTGTCTACTTACCCCATATTTACTCTTTTCCCATTTAATGTTTCTCTTTCTTGTTTGGGCCTTATGTGCTCAATAGGGCAAAGATCATGGCTGTTTTATTCACATAATGTCTAGTGCCTGATATGTAATACCACGTTTTTGTTGAATTTGGATTAATTAATAAGCCACCTTTTTACCAACAATTTTCCTTTCATTCTAGTCACCACACTTTAGCTATTCTTTCAGAAAACAAAATGGCTACTTTTATAAAATGAACCTCTGATTAAACTTTATTATAATCAGTAATCGCATCCTTTATTCTTCTAGCTTCTTTGTCTATTGCAGTTCTGCATGGCTTTTCCAAGACTGTACTTTAGGGTTAATTTCTTGTCTTTATGGATTTTGGGAAAGTCACCAGTCCCAGTCTAGTGCTTCTTGACTTCAACTGTTAGTGTATCTAGTATAATATCGAGTTTATACTAGTCAGTCAGTGAACAAAATTCAAATTCAGCAGTAACTAAAGATGGCATGTAAGTATAAAATGAAAAATAATATAGCATTGAGAAATAAGATACTAGCAAGGATTGTATCATATATAGCCTTAGGAGTGTAAATTGAGAAGGAACGACTTAAGCATGTTGTTAGTTGAGTAGTTGACAACAAAAAAAATGGGGGGAGGTTAAAAAAATAAACAGAACATAATAAATGAATTCATAAACTGAAACAAATTTAAGCCATTATGTGCACATTTATGAAACAGTTGTAGTAATGAGGACAGTGCTTATTTTTTTTCCTCTTAATCATTTAATGGGGGCTCATACAATGCTTATCACAATCCATACATCCATTGTGCCAAGCACATTTGTACAATTTCTTTTTAAAAAAAATCATTTTATTAGGGGCTAATACAACTCTTTTCACAATCCATATATAATATCAACTGTGTAAAGCGCATTTGTACATTCATTGCCCTCATCATTCTCAAAACATTTGCTCTCCACTTAAGTCCCTGGCATCAGGTCCTCATTTTCCCCCCTCTCTTCCCGCTGCCCCCTCCCTTATGAACCCTTGATAATTTATAAATTGTTATTTTGTCATATCTTGCCCTGGAGGACAGTGCTTATTAAAGGAAGAAAAATTAATTAGATGAAATAGGAAAATGCTGCAATACTTAGTACTTAATACTTCAGATGTTGACTTGGGTTTATTGCTCTCACTATAGATGTTTTACAGGGATTGACAGGGAACCTTACTCATTGTACTGATATAAGGAACCAGGGATATCAAAACTTCCAACTAGGCACAGAAATAGAAAGCGAAGTGGAACTAGTATACTGTCCCAGAGCTTTTGCCTAAATGGATTTCATGTCATGCTAATTTGCCAGTACCAGTTATTAGGGCTCTACCTAAGCTCAGAAGTGCAGAAGTACAATCTTACCAGGTGTAAGAACAATGGGGAAGAATGAAACAAAATGAAACCACTGCTATTGAGTTGCTGCCAGCTCATAGCCATGTGTAACACTTGATGATTTTATGGGGGGCTCGTACAACTCTTATCACAATCCGTACATACATCAATCATATAAAGCACATTTGTACATTCGTTACCCTCATCATTCTCAAAACATATGTTCTCCACGTAAGCTCCTGGCACCAGCTCCTCATTTTTTCCCCTCCCTTCCCGCCCCACCCCTGCCTCATGAACCCTTGATAATTCATAAATTATTTAGTCATATCTTACACTGTCTGATGTCTCCCTTTACCCACCTTTCTGTTGTCTGTCGCCCAGGGAGGAGGCTATATGTAAATCCCTGTAATCGGTCCCCCCTCTGTACCCCACCCTCCTTCCACCCTCCCAGTAATCGCCACTCATACCACTGGTCCTGAAGGGATCATCCTCCCTGGATTCTCTGTTTCCAGTTCTTATCTGTACCAGTGTCCATCCTCTGGTCTAGCCAGATTTGTAAGGTAGAGTTGGGATCATGGTAGTGGGGGGATGAAGCATTTAAGAACTTAAGAATAGAGGACAGTTGTATGTTTCATCGTTGCTACACTGCTACCTGACTGGTTCATCTCCTCTCCGCGATCCTTCTGTAAGGGGATGTCCAGTTGCCTACAGATGGGCTTTGGATGTCCACTCTGCACTTCCTCTCTTTCACAATGCTATGATTTTTAGTTCTTTGAAGCCTGATACCTGATCCCATTGACACCTCGTGATCACACAGGCTGGTGTGCTTCTTCCACATGGGCTTTGTGGCTTCTGAGCTAGATGGCCGCTTGTTTACCTTCAAGCCTTTTAAGACCCCAGACGCTATATCTTTTGATAGCTGGGATACATTTAAATTATAAACTCATCTGAGATAGGTGCAAGGAATTAGATAGACACAGTAAAGTAAGATCACATTTAAATATTTTTTTCTGAGGGTTAATTGAACTCTATGCTGACAGGAGATGCTGTTGCAAATAGTAATAATAGAAGAGACTTCCTGGGAGTCTTTACGTTTTAGAGTATTTTAGAGCTATTTTTTTCAGGAATGCATAGTCTTTGCTATTAATTAGAGGTGAGAAATGTAAAAAGAAATGTCACAAGCATAAAAGCACATACAGAATACATAGTGCAAATAATGAAATGGTGAATCCGTAATTTAATCTCTGCAAAATATGCATCGGTAGAAAGGCGGGAGGAAGGAAACGGTAATTACAGGTAGAGCAAAGAGGTAGGGTTCTGAGTAGAGAGAATTGCTCATCTTTAAGGCACTGAGATTTTAAAAAACTTAATATGTTCTGAGTTTAAGCAGTCTGTTATTGGGGAGTAAAAGCTTGGGAGCGCGCGCGAGAGAGAGAGAGAGAGAGAGAGAGAGCGCATTGTCTTGCAGAAAAGCAGAAGTTCAACCATGGTTGTGTTATCTTACTGGATTCTCCCATAGAGTTAAGGTATGCATGGGCAGTGGAGTTGGGTTCCCTACCTTGGAATCATCATTAACTGCTGACATTGTTTAGTTAAGAAGCACTGATTACCATTTTATAATCTATTGAAATGCATACCAATAATTCAGTTTGAATTTGTTTGAGGAGGATTGGTTGTGTGATTTAAGTGTTAGAACATATTTCAGTCAGATTAAAGAGTCAACTATAGTAGCAGTCAAAATCATGGTGAATGAGCTTGCATGTACAAGAGTGAGAAAGGAGGGCTGAAATACAAGTGATTTAAAAATAAAGAACAGAAACAATGTTGTTACATGTTTAATTGTTCCCCTATAATCCTCAGATTTTCTTTTCCAGTGACCTGAGTTTACCAGGAGGGCCATTCATTTGCCAGTATCAAGCAACGCAAACGTAAACCAGTTTTAAGAAAAGTAATAGACCTTTTTGCAGTGCTTAAGGTAAGTCACAGCTTTATAACAGTTGTTGATATTTCTGAACCATAAAGGATTTTTAGTTTTAGGTTCTTGAGGAAGTAGCAGACCAATCACTATAGCTTGGCCATGCTACAATTCTGTCAGCACTTTTAAGAGCGCTAATCTGCCTGCAACCTTGCCATATTTGTTGTTTTCTTTTTTCTCTCAGTGCCATTTTTTCGCAAGGTTGAATTGATATCTTGAAGTACTTTTGGTTTATACCTCTCTCACAATCTTGGAAATCCACAGGAGCAGTTCTGCTCTGTGGATAGGGTTGCTGTGAGTTGGAATTGACAGGTTTTTCTTGAATAGTTAATGTGTATGAGCATCTTCATGTGTTTGTTGGCATGTCCATTGTATAATTGGATCATCATTTTCATTGAGTTGAAGTTTCTATAGATGCAAATTAGACATGTGCACATATTTTTATTCCCATTTTGTAGGCCCCCCTTTACTCTTGGTAAACTCTTTTTCATCATGTGAATTTAATTTTTAGTAGGTTTTAACTTTGACAATATCTCACTAGTTAATTTCAGAGTTGTTTTAGATTTAATAGCCGGTGTTCTTTGTACTGCTTTGTGAGGTAATAATAATATTAAGGCCATTGCTGGATAATATTTAGCTTAGTATTTAAGCAGAGCAAAAACTTAGAAGGAAGAGGAGCTAACTTTGTGTACCTAATCTGCAGGTACAAATACATCTTGTATTTGCTATTAGTATGAGTGGTGGCTTGTGTGTTGCTGTGATGCTATATAAGCTTTGTCCGTGATATTTCTTGTTTCATTTTTTATTTTTACATTTTTATTTGCACCAAATTCACATATAATACAATTCAATATATCACTGGTATTTCAAAATACCTGTAAGGTCATTCAAAGTGAACTGGTTTCAGCCTAGCTTCCAGACTAAGAATAGACTATGAAGAAGGATTTGGCTGTTCACTTTGGAGTAATTAGCCTCAAATAACAATGTGGCAGGAAAGCCTTTGGGACTTTCATTTGTTGATGGAGCACCACTGAAAATGAGAAAAAGTAGCTGCAAAAATCTAATAATTGGAACTTGGAATGTATGAAGTATTGATCTAGGAGAATTAGAAGTCATCAAAAATGAATTAGAATGCATAAAGATCGATATCCTATAGGTATTAGTTGAAGTGGACTGGCACAAGCCACTTTGAATGAGAAAGTCAAATGATTTACTATGCTGGAATGACACAATCAAGAGAAATCATGTTCTTAATGACCCTAATACTTTCTCGCATAACAGCTAAGAGTGCTGTGATTTAAAAAAAAGGGTATGCTTGTTGGAATATATATAAATACATACTATATATATATATATATATATATCTTATGAGATATGAAGTCCTTTTAAAATCTGTCATATTCAAGGTGACATTTATAAATATTTCTACAAGTTTTGTTTTCATAAAATATAAACTTAAAAAAGCAACGGTGTTGTATTCATCATTAGAAAGGACATTTCAGGGTCTATCTTGAAGTATATTGCTGTCTGTGATAGGATTATATCTACATCTAAGGGCATTTCAAACACTAAAGCTAGTGATGAAGGTAATGAATTCTACCAATATCTTCAGTTAAAAATTTAACAAACATGCATACAAGATGCTTTGATTATTATTGGTCATAAGAAAGCAAAAGTTAGAAAGAGGAAAGAACAATAGTTGGAAAATGTAATCTTGGTGACAAACAAAGCTGGAGATCGCATGATAGAATTTTGTAAGACCTAATGATTTCTTCATAGCAAATACCTTTTTTTTTTAGCAACACAAACAGGGACTATATATGTAGACTTCTCCAGATGGAATACACAGAAATCATATTGACTATATCTGTGGGAAAAGATGATTGAGAAGCTCAATATTAACAACTATGAGACCAGGGGCTGACTGTGGTACAAACCACCAATTACTCACATATAACTTCAGACGAGGAGCCCCGGTGATACAGTGGTTATGCGTTGGGCTGCTAACTGCATAGTAAGCATTTCTCCTCGAGAGAAAGATGGGGCGTCTACTCCTGTAAACAGTTACAGTCTCAGAAACTCAACAGGCACATTATGCCCTGTCCTATATAGTCACTAATATGGTCCCATATGGTCAGGATCAACTCTGGCAGTGAGTTTGGTTTTTTGGTTTAAGTTTAGGTTGATTTTGAAGAAAATCAAAACAGGTCCACAAGAGTCAAAATACCATCGTGTGAGTCTATCCCATCTGAATTTCAGGAACATCTCAAAGAATGATTTGTTGTGTTGACCACTAATGACAGAAGGCCCAATGTACTGTTTGGGATGACATCAAGAATATCATTATGAAGAAAGCATAAGGTCATTAATAAAGCAGGAAGGAAAGAAAAGATCCATGTGGGCATCCGAAGACTCTGCGTTTTTCTTCTTAGTCGTACAGTAGTTCACGTTATACAGTTCAATTCACCTATTCAGTACAGTTCACTTGTAATAAGAATAGTTGTACAGTCATAACCACAGTCAATTTTTGAACATTTTCTTCTTCTCAATATTATTAGCTTCCCATTTCTTCTCAACCAGTCCTGGATTTCATTCACACACACACACACACACACACACACACACACACACACACATGACCCAACAACAACAAAATAAAGCAAAAAATTTCAATTAAGCAGAAAATACTAAAAACTAGAACAAATTTAAAATAGTTATGCTTTTCTAGTCTTGTTTTCTTAATTCTTTTTAAACCAACAATGTCTCCAAGTTTTCAGTTAGCAATAGAATATGATTGTAGTTTCTAGTGGTGAAAGTATGTTTGCTTGTATGCCAAATTGATAAAAATTTTTGTTTTGTTTTAGTAGCTGTTTCAGCGTGAAGTGTAAATTCACAGAATTTAGAAAAGTCATCATGAAGTTATATGTATTTCTGGTCAATACTGGAACTACACTAACATTTGACACTGAACTTACAGTGCAAACGTGAGTTATTTGGTATATTATCTCATTTTTTGCATGCTATGTGTCTGTAAACTCTTCAAGGAAAAAAAATTTATGAAAACCAATTCTCAAAGCAGAACAGCCACATAGCAACTCTTAAATCACTTTATACCAGCACGTTACATAAACAGCTTTTGTTGCTGAAGTTGCCTTTTTCCTCCTGAGTAAGTTACATACTGCTGTTATTGGTCATTTTATAATGCCTTAGAGAATTATCTTGAGTAGTCCTTTGCCCATTTTAAAATATATAATTCGTTTTTCTGTTGTTTAGCTGTTTAAATACTTCTTCAGATTCATTGTTTCCTACTATTTTCTCCCATTCTATACATGCCAAAATTATGCTCTGTTTTTCTGGTCCATTGATTTTCTTCCCTTTTTCCCCCTTCTACTCTGATTTTCTTCCCTTCTATAAACAAAGTAAATAGGATTTTTTGGTGAATATGAGTATACAATTGGTTTAATTTTTTAAGTTCCGATTAGTCAGATTCTACTTCTGCAAGGATTTCAAATACTGAAATTTTTTATATTTTTTCCTATGTTTGTGGAAAGTTGCAGAGCTCCCAGACCTCACATTGAAAGGAATTAACTTAGTTAATTTTAAGTTTAACTAATTCCCTTAGTTAAACTTAGTAAAATGCAAATATTGCTTATTATTTCCCTGTCCAACTCAAGTCCATAAGACTGATACTAGTCCACAGAACCCTAATACTCATGCAGCCATATGCACTGATGTGGTGGCTTTGGCAGCAGTCAGAGTCAGCCAGCAACAAGGTCAAGGCAGAAAGAGAAGGGGAGGTTCCCAGAGGCCTTCTTACAAGAAGGCCATGCCCACAGGGAGGCACCATCAGCTGTGACCTGCTTGACCTGTTGAATACCACCCCTTCACTTTTAGGGTTCTTCAAGTTGACATGAAATTATGTAATTACCACATTCCTCTGCTTTTATTTTATTTTAAATTACTTTTCAAATGACCAGGTTTCATTAAATAGTATTCACCAACTACAAGAATTTTTTTGAAATATAGGAAATAATTTTTCATGTGCTTTGGGCTTAGTGTTCTTTGTGTAATGTGTTCTGATGAATTCTGCACACTGATGTCAATGTGAGCATATTTTTTACTTATATTTAGAGCACAAAAATAATTGTGCATTGCCTTTATTTCATAGCCACATTTTTAGGTGTGGTACACAGATGGTTTATTCATTCAGGATCAGACAGTTTATTATGGAATCCAACTCAGAAAGAAAGCTAATAATTTTCCTCTGTTTTGTGGAATATTTTTAGTATTTCATCATTCGAGTTAAAATAATTAGCCTAAAAAAGTTCATCCCTAGAGCAAATTATCCCTAAATAACTGCCTTTTTTTTTTTTTTAAAGTGTGGCAGACCTTAAGCATGCCATTCAAAATAAATACAAGATTGCTATTCAGCACCAGGTGCTTGTGGTCAATGGAGGAGAATGCATGGCTGCAGATCGAAGAGTATGCACCTATAGTGCTGGGACGGTAGGTACCGGAGGGCCTTTCATACAAGGATGTTCCAACTTTTCCCATTAGATAAGGAGGTGGGAAGTCAATATTCAAAAGTAAGACTTTCATGTTTTATGTATGAGGGCATATATTAATTTTGAGTATTAATGATTGTTAAACATGTACCTTTCAGTTTTTTTAACTTTTTTTTTTTTTTAATAATAGGACACAAATCCAATTTTTCTTTTTAATAAAGAAATGTTTTTATGTGAACGTCCTCCGGCTATTCCTAAAACTACCTTTTCAACAGAAAATGATATGGCATTGAAAGTTGAAGAGTCTCTTATGATGCCTGCAGTTTTTCACACTGTAGCTTCAAGGACACAACTTGCCGTGGTAAGATATAAACAGTGTTTCCTAAGATCATGGCATAATTCATTTGCATCTAAAATATTTTTAAAATTGAAAGGCTGACATTAGTTACCATTAAGTTGCTTCCATCTCATGGCAATCTCATGTGCAACAAAAAGAGTACCTAGACATTTACCATCCCCATGATTGTTGTCACGTATGAATCTATCGGATTGTATTCTCTTGTGAACCACTGGGTTTGGGTTGGCTGCTTTTGGAAGTAAATCACCAGGCCTTATTTCCTAGTCTATCTCAGTGTGGAAGCTCTGCCAAATGAATTCTGATTCATGGTGGTCTCAGTTAACATAGTAGAACTGAGTTTGGGGGCTTCATGCTGACTTTTTTTTTTTTTCATGCTGACATTTTTTATGGACACTGATGGACACCTTTGTTCTACAGTTAGTTCAACCCTCTATTAAGTTAGTTGGACACAAACCCGAGAATCTTCTTGTTTGGTGTTGTGGAATCAACCCTAGTTTTGAGCTCATTGTTGGAGCTACTGTGTTAATCCACCTTATTGCGAGTCTCTCTGTTTTTTGCTGATCCTCTGCTAAGCATGCTCTCCTCCAAGGACTGGCCCCTCTTTATAAGATATCCAAAGTACCTGAGGCATAGCCTTGCCATCCTCCTAAGGAGCTTTCTGATTCTACCTGCAAGACCTATTTGTTCCTTCTTCTGGTGGTCCATGATACAGTCAGTGTTGTTTGTCAATACTGTAGTTTAAAGCCATTGGTGCGTCTTGGTCTTTGTTATGCTTTGTCAGCATTTGCATGCATGTGACATAATTAAAATAACGATTTTATTCAGGTGCATCCTAGTCCCCAAAGATATTTCTTTACTCGTTAACACTAGCCTTTGGCACCACCAGTGTACCTTGAGTAGCTTACTGGGCATTAATAAATATGAACTGTTATTGCTTATAGAATAATTAAACTATAAATAGTATAGTAGTCTAACTTCCGTAAGACACACACGAAAATTCTTTTAAAACATATATCTAGCTTTATGAGTTGCCAGCTAAGTCCACAAGAAGAAGCACACCAGCATGTGTGTAATCCAAGAATTATAAACAAAATCCAAACCTGGATGAGGAATTGGTATTAGAACTTAAATTCTGAATGCCCAGGTTGCAGAAGGCCTCGGGTGACAGTGACAACCCAGAACCAATTTGCAGGGTTCTTCCGACGAGTAAGCCTCGAGTGAATGCCTTCTCACTATGAACCAGGGTTGAGAAATCCTTGTCACCAGACACAGTACATTGCAGTGTAGATTACTACAGTTGTAGTTAGGTAAAATGTGACATGATACCTTATTATTGATCTCATTTCAGCTTTATTATCCATTGAGGTTTTTCTTTGTTTTGTCATTTTTGTTGGTCCATTTGTATTGTCTTATTTTTTTTTAACATTTTAAGTTTTTTTTAATTAATTTTCTCTTTAATTAAATTAATTTTCAATTAGGAGTTAATACACATATCTTTCCTAAGTTTAATCACCTTAAGCAGTATTGTACAATTGCTACCATAATCCATTTCCAAACATTCTTTTCCTTCCTGGACTCATTGACATGTGTGCCCCCCAAATCTCTATTCTACTTACTGTCCCTATAGGTTCATCATTCCTGGGTTTCATATGCAGGAAAACAACACATCTTCAAGAGGGTGACCCCTAATGACATAACATCTGCGATAAACCCTAATGTGAACAAACAAAATATAATGCTGAAAACCAGATCAGATCCAGCATGCATCGGGGTGGGTGGGGAGATCAAGTGTGACAAGGTTTAACTGTTCAAGCCAGGTGTATCCCTTTGATCTTCTACTATGTCTCTGTCGTATTTCTTGAATTTGTATGATTTTCTGTATATGGAACCCAGATTAGGTAATCCTTATAGAGCAAGTGGTTCTCAACCTTCCAAATGCCAAGGCCCTTTAATACAGTTCCTCATGTTCTAGTGCCCCCCAACCATAAAATGATTTTTGTTGCTACTTCATAACTAATTTTGCTACTGTTATGAATCATAATGTAAACATCTGATATGCAGGATGTATTTTCATTGTAACAAATTGAACATAATGAAGGCATAGTGATTAATCACAAAAACAATATGTGATTATGGTGTCTTGATTCCTCAGACCATCGGATATAAGTGTTTTCTGATAGTCTTAGGCAACCCTTGGTGAAAGGGTCCTTCAGCCCCCAAAGGGGTCTTGATCCACAGGTTGAGAACTGCTGCAGTGTAGTCAACAACTGGATCAGCATATTCAAAGGGACACGGCAGGGGAGGCTGGTAGGAAATGAGCAGCTAACAAGCTAGCAGAAGGAAAAAGTATCTTGGAATTGATTGTGGTAAACGTTGCAAAACTTACAAAACGTGACCGAACTGTTTAGATGTAAGATATGTTAATCGTATGTCAGTGAAATTGTTAAAAATATACTTTTATAAAGAGGGTAATAATATGTATGTGTTTAGTTTGGGGGATATTGGGCCTATAAATCAGGCCTGTTCTACATTATGTGACTTTCGAGTTGAAAAGTTGTTTACCTATGACTTATTTGACCCCTCTCCTGGATGCAAATAATTGTGGTCAGTTGTGGTCGGTGTGTTCTGTAAAGTCACCAGAAACACCCAGTTAGAGAATACTGAGCTGTTGCTTCTTGAGAACAGACTGGATTAGGTCCTGGGAGCCTGAGTGGTGCAGTGGCTATGCGTTGGCCTGCTAACTGCAAGGTCAACAAAGCTTTCTACTCCCGTAAAATTACTGTCTTGGAAGGCTACAGAGGCAGTTCTGCATTGAACTTATAGTTGCTATGAATTGGAATTGGCTTCATGGCAGTGAGTCGTTTTTGAGTTTACTTGTTTTATGTGTGTTTCTGTTAAAGACATTTAATATATTCCTTCCTACAAATGATTACATGCAGCATTTCTTTATAATCACATACTAGCTGATCAGGCTAAGTATTTTCTTGACCTTGATTAGTATGTTCATAAAATTTTTGGCTTTCAGTCTCACAATGTTGTGTAGTATGCTTTAAAAAAAACAGGATTTATGAGTCCATAATTACTTTAGGAAAGCTAAAATCTTTTAATATGTCTCTTATGTAATTAATGTTCTAGTGTCTTAGCTTTAATACTCTATAATTTTCAGGTTAATAGCAGGCATATACCGTAAATACTTTAGTAGATGACTATCAAGCAGAGTGCTTTTCCTAGGAATACAATGATGGCTTAATATCAGAAAATGTGGTGATAAAATTAATTGACGCAGTCTTTAGTATCTTAAATGAGAAAACTGTAGGATCATATTAAAGTGCTTTAAATGACACAATTGTTAACTCAGCAGCTTTTCCTAATAAAATCGTAGAAGGAAGGAAACAACACATTAATATCAATGAAATACTAGAGATCTGTTGATATTAATCAGAAACAGTTGATTCAGGATTCTGTGTGTTTATGAGTAGTTACTAAGTGGTTCTTTAATGATTGCCTTATTAGCTATAGATTTATTTAATTTTTGCCTCTCTTTGAAGAATACCTGTTGCTATTCTTCGCAGTAACAGATTTAGTATGTTGGTGCTACCTCTTATTTTGTTGTTGTTGTTATTGCTTCTTCCTCTTCTTGGATCCCTATAATAATACACAGGTTGTTCCTCTTGATTGTTTCCCACATTTGTCTTAAGCGTTTCTCTGTCTGTTTTACATTCTTCTCATTTGTTCTTCTTTTAGGTTGGAGTCTATAGATTTGTTTTATAGCTCACTAGTTCAGGTTTATATCTCTTCAGTTTTGTTTCTCTGTTCTTTTATAGCATTGTGCCGTTCCTTTATAGTATTGTGTAATTCTGCTATTGTAATGTTTAATTTTTGTGTTTGTTTGGAGTTTTTCTTCTTTTCTATTGTTTCTTTTGTTTCACCCCCACCCCTCACCCCCACCTATTCCTTCATCTGTTGCACGAGTACAATCACTGTTCTTTTTCTGGCAAATCCATAGCCTATTCAATTTCAGGTGGTACATTTGGGCCTAATTAGTATTTGGTTATTTTCATTTTGTGTGTATGTGCATCAATATCTTCTGTTGTTTCCTTGACATGTTGGAGTCGCTGTTGGGGTGTTATGGAGGTGGTGTTATGTGGGTTAGCTCTGTTAGGTGGTGCAGTTAGAAAGCTAGTGGACAGTTTGCGCCAAGTATAGGGGTGGATGTTAGATTAAGTGTTAGGGGAGCAGTCAGAGAGTGGGATAGGAAGTGTTAGCTAAGAGAGAAAGGAACAGTAGGCAAAAGAAAAGAAACAAAATGGGAGGAATTGGGTAGTGTTATTTGGTAGGTTAAAAGAAGGGAAGTTGGGTAAAATTTAAAAATGCCTGTTTGTAATAATGGAGGAATGGATACTAATATTTGATAGGAAAAAAAAGATTTTAAAAATGTAAGAATAGCATCAGCTATTGTTTTATGAGGATCAGAAGAAAAGGTTTGACAAGAAGAAAAGAGAAATTAAAAGATAGGTTAATAGTGCTATGAAATAAGACTTTAGATATTTAGATTAGAGAGGGCAATTAAAGGGAAGGGCCAGAGGCGAGGAGAGTTTTAAAAATAATACTGGGAAAAATAATTCTGGAGTTAGTGGCAAGACAGCCATTAATGCATGCTTGTGTGCACTCTTAAGCTTTGACCAGGAGCTTTGTCTGTTAGCATAACCTACAGGTTGATGATTTCTTAAGGGCCTAGAAAATAAATTGCGAGTAAAGTAGTGTGTGTGTGTGTGTGTGTGTGTGTGTGTGTGTGTATACTTATGTATACCTACAAAAAGGGAAGTCCCAATTGAGTATAAGTTATTAGAATAGTACTCAGATTTCTTTTCTGGGGAGGCGGATATAGGAGACGTGGAACACAGAGCAGCAATTGAACCAGTAAAAAGCAGCTGGGTCCCACTCCTTGTCCTCAGGAGGAGCCAGGACTGTGTAGCAGAGGCCTTTTAAGCAGTTGGGGACAG